GTAGGATGTGATTAGAGTATTCAGAAATAGCCACGTGTACATATATATTAATTCAGTTTTGCATCTTGGAAAACCAAAGGCAATTAAAGCAATTTTAAGTTACAGTCTAGTGTTTTGTGTGTGTAAACCTTTTGCAATGTTTTCCTATTTTCAAATTGCTGTGTGTACAGGAAAAGGAGGGGAGTGTGTATATTACCTTTTATTGACTAGCAGTAAATAATTCTTGGTAAGAAATGTAAAAAAAAAATGATGTGCTTACTTTAGTGTATTTTCTTAACCCCCAAATGTTGATTTTGCAATATGTCTCTCATCAGATCCCAGGAAAACCGTTAAAAAGTTCTGAAAACTGCATGTTGTCTATAGTACAGCAGTGAGATAGTTCAAGGATACTCACAGGCAAGATCATATTGCAAAAGTACTATTAAACTGCCAGTTACCAGCTTGTATTTTCGGGCAAAATTCAAAATAGTATTGATAAGCTTTAAAGCCCTTAGCTCAAGAATACTTTATGTCTCTTCTAACTCCTACTCCTACTCCTTTAGGCTGCTGGCACAATTTAAACTGATATGAAATATATTGAATTGAAATATTTTCCAAAGCACTATCAGAACATTTTTTATTACTGCCATCATTTAATGCAGGCTTGGGCATTAAGTGGGCTGCCTGCAGTGTAAACGTCTACAGGCAGCCATTGCCAATTTACTAGCATTGTTACTATCAATAGTTTGCAGACCATTTTTTAAAGGTCCACCCAGTTGAGCACTGATGGTGAGAAACCTGTGTCTGGCTTATATATTAATGGCTCCTGGATTTATTCATAAGAAATCATCATCTTACTGCAAAACCCAAGAACCGTGGCATCCTATCAGAATAAAAGGAATCTGAGCTTTTATCTTCTATCTTGAGAGGACTCTGGTTGGTTGCTGGACCTTCCAAAAAATCAACAGTTGATTCAACATTGGTAAATGACAGGGTGGTGGCTTTGACTTTCTCTTCCTACCAGCCTGCTGAGTGGAGACTATGTGTGCATCTATTAGGCCTCCAGCCAATACATTTGGCTTTAAAGGCAAAAATGTTAGCTAACTGTCTTTGCATGAGGAGTTTTTTGCCCTGACATCACTATAATCCATTGGGAGGCTTGTCTATGGAGATTCTAAATCATCCAGGTCATGGCTGTCTCAGTTCAAGAACTGAGAAGCAATATATTTTCAAGGAAAAAAAAACCCAAGAAAATTGCCTTTTTAAAAGCACCTTTGGGACATTGGGAAGCTTATTTGAGTATCCTTGTCCTGTAGTAACCTGCAAAACTCATTTTGGTGTCAGACCAACACTTATTTAAGAGACAGGCTGCAAGAGAGGTGATTTTTAAATCTCTTTTCAGTGTATTCATGCACAAACATTTGAATTGTTACAGGATCATAACTCTTATTTTTAGCACATGTTGTATGACTTCTGTCTAAAAAATGCTGTCCTGAACCATTCATGTTCTGAATCAGATGCTGCACTCGATCTAAGGAAGGACAGCAGATTTTAAATGTTTTTCAGAATTTAGAAACATAGAAAACTGATGGCAAAAAAACTGAGCGTTCCATTGAGTGCCCTTTGAATTTTTTCTTAATTTTTTTTTTAAAAAATTGTCAGATGATGGACATGTGTTTATCCCAAGCATGTTTAAACTCAGTTACTGATGATTGACCCACCTCTGCTGAAAGTTGGTGCCAAGCTTCCCCTACTCTTTCTGTGAAGTAATTTTATGAACTTTATGTGTCTATGCTGCTATAAGATATCATTTTAAGTATTTTTTATCAGCTAGCGTGGAGGAGATCCAGCTATTAAAGATCATGATAGTAATAGAGAACTCTCTTTTCTGATCAAGGTGATTCTAGTTTTTTTTTAACCTTCATTAACTTGGCTTGCTCTATTCAGCTAAACTCCAAACATCCCTGTACCACTAGTCTTTTAACAAGTTCTATACAATGTATATATTTAAAAGGGTTGCATTTGTCTCCCCTCAAGGTGTCTTAATTATGATTTAAGTTCTTTGCTTTCTTTGCAGCAAAAATGGTTTCTGCAAAGCAGCTGGCTGACTTTGGCTACAAGACCTTTTCGAGCTCCATGATGCTTCTTACTCTATATGGTGGTTACCTCCTGAGTGGTGGTGTATATCAGGCATATCAGAGAAATAAGCGACTGAAGGAGCAAGGGATAAATGCTGATGATACTAAGCAATGAACACTCAACACCTCATAGGATGCGTAATAAATGGAAGACTGGTTTGCTTTATCAGAAACCTCTGGGATTTTTGCCATGAAGAATGTGAATTTCAAATTGTGCTGAAAAAGTGGAAGTATCTGTATGGCTCTTTAGTCGTTCGATTCTTCGTTCACAGTTTCTCTCATTCCTACAATAGAAACTGTGAAGCAACTATTAAAAAAATTATTTACAGATAATTTGCCATGTGTTTTCATTTCTTTCTGGCCTTAAAAAAAACCCCTCCTCAAATAGAATCAACTCATTAAACCAGAGTAAGTTTTTTATTCTTACCAACTTCCTGTCCCAATCTTAAAACAACATATCTCACATTTCAAACAACTTGTTTATTCTGGCATAGGGAATAGTTTAAGTAGCTTTTGAAAGATGTGAATTTTTTTGCATGTGATGATTTATTCCCTGACCATTCTTCAGTTGATTATAGGTAGATCCTTCTATTCCATCAATTCTTTAAATCTATGTGCTACCTGGCATGCAGATAATTTTGCCAGCCATTTTCATTGCACCAGAATAAAAATAAAAAGTAATGAAGAAAATTATATTTAAACAGTCTAAGAGGAAATGTAGGATCATCATCCATGCCAACAGAAGGCCATGCTCAGGGTTAGATCAGCAATCATACCTACTGAGACACAAACATGAGCTATTTGTTTCTGCAGTGTCAAGATGATCATTCTTTTTCGTCATTAAATCTTAACAACAGCAAGCTAGTAAAATAGAACTCAAGACCACAGTGAAAATTACCTTTCTCAGTAAAACAAAATCCATAGATCCTATTCATCAAGCACTTTTTAATCACAGAGTAAACAATAATATAAAATGAGGATAATTCAGGGGATTTCCAAAGCCCAAGTCCTAACAACACTTCCCCATCTTCCATCTCCTTTGAAGTACCGTTGAATAAAAGGCAAGTGGGGGCAGGAGACCCATCCAGTCCTTCTGAGACAGCCACTGCTTCCCAGCAGTATCACGCAAGATTGAGGTTCGTCAGGGATATCACTTTTCTTCTCAAAACATGGGTACGTTCACAACTTATCTTTATGGGACAGTCAGCAACAAACACTGGTCATCCCTATCTATAATCCTATCGCTGAAAACTACTCGTTTTGTTTGGTAATTCTTACATGAACTCAAATCCAGAGTTTGTAAAAAAAAAAAAAAAAAAGCACAATGAAGACTTTGGAGATGCTGCACCACTCAAGAAAAATAATAAATGCCAGCTTTCTCTTTCTTATCACTCAGTAAGATGACATGAGGAAAATTTTTTTTACCATTGATATGCCATGCAGTAATAAGCAAACCCTTCACTCTACCACAATCCTCAGGTTGTTTAGGTGTAGCCCAGTTTAGCATCCTAGGACATAAGTAGGTCCTACAAGAAATATGGACTGACTGTCCAAATATCCTGGAATGTAGTAAAGCAGACAGAACTCGTTAGTGATCAAGCTTAACAAAGAAAAAATGTTCTGAAGTCTACTTTCTCTCCTTCTCTCTTACATATTTCAAACAAACATTAAATACAAAATGGCTTATTTTCTTTTAAAAGTTAAAGTCGAAAAAGGGTTTGCACTAGTAATCAGCTTCTTCATCCTGTGCAAAATTGCCCATGCTGTGCCTGTTTCAGATTCGCTGGAGGATTTGGGAGTGATGTGGCAGTTGATTAAAAATTTCTTGTAACTGGGGGCATTTCTAGGTATTTGAATTCAAATCTTTAGAGTGGGGGCAGCTGTCCCGTTTTTACTCTTCTGCCCATTGGTCACTAATTACATGGCCATTTATCCGATTGCGATCATTGCTTGGAGTATTAAGAATTCCTTTTCTGTTGTTTGAAGTCACATCATCATCATCAGAGCTGGTCTCCACATCACTGCGCTCATCTTTTGATACCTGATAAAAAGAAGCAGAAGTATACCACAAATAAGGAATTTAAAAATAGTTAAAAACAAGCTCATATACAGTAGATGCTTGTTCTTTAAATGGTACAGTTTAAACATTTAATTATGGAACTGAAGAACTTAAAAAAGACCAACAATACCACGAAACTGGATGGCCTCAAAAATCATCAAGCTTTCTTTGAGAGCAAAGTTTGCTCAAAAAATAATGAAAATAATTTTGAGGGAGGCAGAATCATAGATGCACATGCTAGTACATGGTGAAAAGAGCAGATAGCATTAATTATATATTAAATTCTCTACAGGAATATATTTTTATTAATAACAAATTGTTTTCTGCCTTTTCTCTTTCAAAGACATCCTAGTTAACAATCAAAATGTTTATATATTAATAAAAATAGCCTTAAAAATTAAATAGATTTAATGTTCTTAAGAATATTTAAAGTGTCTTTAAAATAGCTGATTATAGTAAAATTAAAGAAGCTAGATTGATCTTCCTAAGATATGGTGTTCCATAACCTGCCCAACAAAACATCTCAGATGAAAGAGAGGATCCTCCACAAACTTATCTTGGAAAAAAAGCAGTATCACAAGACAAGATGGGTAATTCCCAACCATTATTCTGAATTGATCTCATCTCTTTCACCCTAAGGTATTCAAGCAAAGTAATGGAAAAAATAGCCCATCTTCTGACTCTTTTATCTTCTCCCATTTTTATATTAAGTCAATGAAGTAATCATTGGGACCACAGAGAATGTTGCCACAAAATAATCAGATACAAAGCACATGAGAAAAAAGATTGGTCTTAAACAGAGAACACATCTCAGCTTGCAATACAAAGAAGAAGCAAGGAGCTGTAGAATAATAAATAACAGTTGAAGAATTTGTTAAAGATAGCCTAGATAGAACGACAGAAAAATATCTGACGGTATTTCTATACCTATCATGTTTCTATTAGCAGAATCCCCTGGAGTACAATTTGATCAGCTCAGAATCAACACACATTAAATAGGGAAAGGAAAAAGAACTGAACATATCCATCAAATTTAATTTAAAGCTGAACAGAAATATTCTGCAAAAATTCACAGCTGTCAAATTCGCAAATCTGAAAATAATTTGATATATTTAGTATGATCAGCTCCTGGCTAATGATGAAGAAGTGGTCTCTTCTAATTCCCACTATAATATCACTTTGATAATTATTTCATCTCAAAGAAAATTGCAAAAACGTGAATAACTGAGACAGTTTAGATAAACTATAACACAACATTATTTTGATATAATGAAGACAATTGAAAATCACAATAAAGAGATCAAGGGAGACATCTAAACTGAAATGGAAACATTCTGAATAGAATACATACATAGGAACATTATACATATCATTTATTTTCCTGAATATCATCTTCTATGTGCCCCATGAATTTGATAGTAAGAAAATATAGCTTGATAACAAAATTATGTCAATTGTATCAAACATTGGAGGAAACAGGTTTTACATTCCAAATCACTCAAATTGACCCAAATATAACAATATTCCCCAGTATAGTAATTCAAAAGTGATTCTATTGCACTGTTATAATTACGTCACTTTAGTAAGCAAGAAGTTGATCGAAAAGGTTTTATCAGAAACTACGGTAACAGCAAAAGTAATTATTGCCATAATTTTGAGTTTTGTAGTTACTAGTGCATGAATGATAGAGGAAGCTTTTCACATTAGCAGAAATGGACCAGTTGACTAATTGATATTGGAATGCCGATCAATATCTTATTTCGACTGAAAGAGGGGGAAAAACCAGAATTCCATAAACCTCAAAGGTTTAGCAGTTTGGCTTGCCACAAGGTGGCATTATATTACTGCTGAAAGAAAAGTAAAAGCATTAATTGAGATTAATAAGGAGGCTGAACTGGTAAATTTCTTCAGAGCCAACTTAAATGATTTTATAGTATCATTTGAGCACTTGCCAAGGCAGGTACACCTCTGATTTAACAAGGCTAACAACGGTAGAATGTGCTTAGACTAGCCTCACCCCTGATTACTCTCAGCCAGGTGTATGCACTTTGAACAGCCTAAGCAAGGCACATAAAAATCAGAATAAAGCCATACCAGTGGCAAGTTAATGATTGCTAAGGCCAACTGGAGAGACCTACTTTTCATAGCTGTAATTATTCTGCTCTTGCCTGAAATTTCTTGCACAAGAGAACACAGAACAAAGTGGACTGTGATCTATTCTTAATTTATGACTATTGTTTTCCTGAAGCAGCTGTAAAGAAAGCTATTGGGAAACACTTTTAAAGCGTTTATATTCTGGATTTCTGTGCCAATTCCAATTATAAGTTGTCCCAATTTTAACTTTTAAATACCATGATGGCTTGGTCCTATGTGCTTAGGGCATTATGACAGGTTCCCTCACCTTATACCAGGGGTAGGCAACCTCGGCTCTTTTATGACTCATGGACTTCAACTCCCAGAATTCCCGAGTCAGCTATGCTATGCTGACTCAGGAATTCTGGGAGTTGAAGTCCATGAGTCATAAAAGAGCCGAGGTTGCCTACCCCTGCCGTATACCATCAGGAGGAGACCTGGAATTATGGGCCCTATACAACACCTATTTGGTAAAATCTCATCTTAACTTTCCCAAGATGAGTAAAAGGATTATTTTGAGATGCAATGAGATGAGCAGGATTTTATATTTTGTACACAGTAGTTTTTCATCATAAAGCTTATGTGATCCAAAATAAAATATTTTTAACATTTTATTGTGTCTGGCATTCCCAATTACTTTTTTACTTTAAAAAGAAAAGATTTATTAAATGCAAATAACTTTAAAATGGAATATAACAAGTGGTTATAGGGATGAATAGTACTGAAGATTATAGCCTCCTAGTCCAAACTTTCAGAGTAATAACAATTTAAAAGACGCGTGAAGCAGTTTCCACTTGACATTAGGCAGCTGAGATTTAATTTGGGATGATAGCATTTAAAGCCCAGGAGGGGGGGGAAAGGCAGCCCTCCCCCTTTCCCTTACAACTGTAGCAGAGATGGCACTTACATAAAAAAAGAAGAGATACAACTTCAGTCTGGTACAGAGAAAAGGAATGAGAGAGAATGGAGATTACAGGGAAAAGTCCACTCCTGACTAGGAACCTGATCAGGAGAGAAAAGCAAAGAGAAGAGACCCCCAACTTGGAAATTATTTATAGCCATTCAGCAGAAATACACACATACGCTTTTAAATTAGTAACTGCAAAATAAACTTAGAGAAAGGAAAAATAGCAAGATACAAACAGAAAATGGGGATAATTGGAATACATAGTACAGAAAAATCATCCAAACATAAAAAAGGTTCTTTTGAAAAATAAATGCATAATTCTGGAATAGAATTGCTTATATTTGTAAAATAAATACTGGTTACTGGGACTCTAGTTCAACACTCTAATCCTAAATCATTTAGATTCAAGTAATGATGAATCCAATGATTGTAAATTCTACAATCCCTTTCCTACATTACAAATAAGCCCTCTCTTACATTACATCAGATAGATAATAATAATAATAATAATAATAATAATAATAATAATAATAATAATAATAATAATAATAAAAGTTGGAAGGGACCTTGGAGGTCATCAAGTCCAACCCCCTGCTCAGGCAGGTAACCCTATACCAGGGGTAGGCAACCTTGGCTCTTTTATGACTCGCGGACTTCAACTCCCAGAACTCCTGAGCCACCATGGCTGGCTCAGGAATTCTGGGAGTTGAAGTCCATGAATCATAAAAGAGCCAAGGTTGCCTACCCCTGCCTATAACATTAAAGCTTTCTTTACAGGGTTACAGTAAGTACAGCTAAACCACCTCTCTAAAGTATGAGACTTGATGTACAAAAACCCATTTTCTCTGCTCTCACATATTGATCTCAGAAGAAAAGAAGTAAAAACTACACTGACTCAATGAACTATAATTTTGCAGGTTACAGATGTCAAGAATCTCATTTTTAACAGCAACACTGCAGACACAGGCCTGAAATAGTTACTATGTAAAGGGAAGAAGAGTTCAGTAATAAAATATTTTGATTTATTAGAAATTTTGTTTCTTTCTTCTATTCGGACATAAACTAAATGTGATTTAGATATCTCAAATATGATTTTTTCATGAGGCAACTGGACTTTCTTGTTTTTCTTTGAAGACATTCCACTTCTCATCCAAGAAGTTTCTTCAGCTCTGACTGGATGGTGGGAAATGGAATGATTTATACTCCTTGCAGACAGCTGGTCATTTGCATTCTTTTAGAGAGTCATTGAGGCCACCTGGAGATTTATCTTTGTAGTCAGGGTCACCTGAGTAGTGCCAATGGGTGTGGAGCCTTCTTGGAACTGTTGAAAGGACTCTGTTGTAGACTGAAGATAGATGATGTTGTCCCCCCCCCTCTGTTGAGAGAGGGCTGTTCAATTTTGACATAGATGGCCTCTTTGACCCCTCTTTCAAACCAGCAGTCCTCTCTGTCCAAAATGCTGTCTTCAAAAGAGAAGCCTTTGTCTTTTAAATACAGGTGGACTGCTGAATCTTGTCCTGATGGGTTTGTTCTCCCATGTTGTGCCATGTGTTTATGAAGTGGTTGTTTTGTTTCCTCAATGTACAGAACTGCGCATGGCTCACTGCATTGTACTGCATGTACCACGCTGCTCAGTTTGTGTCTGGGGGTTTTATCCTTGGGGTGGACAAGCTTCTGCCTTAGTGGACTCTTGGGTTTGAAGTGTGCACCTATGTTGTGTTGGCTGAAGATCCTCCTGAGCTTTTCCGATATTCCTGCAATGTATGGAATGACTATGTTGCTTTGTTTATTGTTTTCTTTTTTGTCTGTTATGGAGGAGCTCCTGCTGGGTCTTTTTTGGGATTTGATGAAGGTCCACTTGGGATAGCCACAAATTCTGAGGGCTTCCTTGATGTGTCTTAGTTCTTTTTTTTCCCCATCTTTGCTGGTAGGCAGGCCTTCAGCTCAGTGGTGAAAGGTTCTGATAATGCCCATTTTGTGCTCCAGTGGGTGGTGAGAATCAAAATGTAAAAACTGATCTCTGTGTGGGGGTTTTCTGTAAACTTTGATATTAAGGCGTCTGTCTTCCTTAATGTATACTGCACAGTCCAGCAAGGCTAGACTATTTTCCTTAACATCTTCATGTGTGAATTTGATGTATCTGTCCACCGAGTTGATATGTTTGGTGAATGCTTCCAATTCTTGTGTTTTGATCTTGACCCAAGTATCGTCCACATGACTATACAGTGAGTGGGTGGAATTCCTGTGGGTGGAATACCCCACATCCAGTCAGAGCTGAAGAAGCTTCTTGGATGAGAAGCGAAACGTCTTCAAAGAAAAACAAGAGAGTCCAGTTGCCTCATGAAAAAGCATCTTTGGGATATGACCTGGATGACTGAGAATCTCCATAGATGTGTGATTTAGATCAGGGCTTTTCAACCAGTGGTACGGGTACCACCTGTGGTACATTGGCACCTGGCAGGTGGTACGCGACCATCCTAGAAAAGTGGTAGTGGGGAAGGGGAATGAGGTGAACCGGTGGCAGCACCACACAAATCCGAGTGAGAGACAGCTGGAGCTGCAGGGCTGTCAGGGCTTAGCGGAAGCACCAGGATCAGCGCCAGGCTCCAGCTGAAGCTCGGCGCTGATTCTGGTGCTTCTGCTGAGCCCTTAAGAAGCACCAATCAGCTGGAATGTTGCAGCATCTCCAGGGTCTTGTGATTTACATTCAGATGCTTGGCAACTGATTCATATTTATGACGGTCACAGTGTCCCAGGGTCATGTGAAGTGACCAAAACCTGCTGCAACTACCCAGCAGACAGGGGGAATAAAAACTAAACACCCCCCCACCGCACCCCCGCTGCCAATCCTCAACAGAAATGCTCACAACAATGAAAACCTCAGACAGGAGGAAGAGTGCGGCCGGGCGGGCAGGCAGATGTCTTGCTCGGCTGTGGCTTGGGGGGCACTTTTTCAGTGCCATTGTAACTTTGAACAGTCACTAAGCGAACTGTTGTAAGTCAAGGACTACCTGTACTTTATTACTTTTTTCCTTTTTTTTTGGTCATCAAGTTTTTGACACCTTGCTGGTGGTACTCAGATGTTGCCATACCCTAAAAGTGGTCCAATGGGTGAAAAGGTTGGAAAGCCCTGATTTAGATCTTCTCATGGCACAAATTCCTGAGAATCTTGAAATGTGAAATGTAGTTTTTATACAAGTGGTTCTTACATAATGCTTCAATAACTGCACTGTGATTATTACTGAGATAATATTTATATTTTCATGAAAGCTTTTGAAAAATCTTTTCCTTATAGACTAGCAGTTATGGTTCTAACCCTGTCTCATCAGCAAGTAGATGAAGTTTTAACACTAAATCTCTTCATTTTTTAATAATTAAAAGCATGAAAGAGAATAATTAATCTGGAAGAATTCTTTTCATATAAAAGCACAAACTTCACAAAAAATAAACATGCATTGTGATTTTTCAGTGAGAGTCCCCTCCCCTTCCCTGATAGTATAAAAACTGAATTCAGGACATTTTTTGTCATGCAATCTCCATTTTTTTTTAAATTAGAACATGGTAACCATTGGGCATAATAGCAATAGCACTTAGACTTATATACCATTTCATAGTGCTTCACAGCCCTCTCTAAGCAGTTTACAGAGTCAGCCTATGGCCCCCAACAATCTGGGTCCTCATTTTACTGACCTTGGAAGGATGGAAGGCTGAGTCAACCTTGAGCCAGTCAGGATCGAACTCCTGGAGTGAGTAGTGAGTTAGCCTGCATTACTGCATTCTAACCATTGTGCCACCACGGCTCTACATAATGTCCCATGTATGATTTGTGATTTCACAATATTTGACACCTTGGAAACTTGTTTTTCACAATTATTTTTTAAAAAATTGGGTTTGAAAGTATGTAGGAACCCAAAGGGGAAGGGCAAATTGATGAGCATTTTTTCCAAGCTAAAGACACTGCTTCAGTTACTTGCATAACCTAGCATAGATTTGTAACTCTCTTCCTATCAACACAACTTGCTCTATCTAGATAACTGATGGCCACATATAACATCAGGTGCTCCAATTACATAAGCTTGCTTTACATCAGGAGTCACCCACTACTGGGCCGTGGCCTCTTGGTCACCAGGCCGCATGAAGGTGGTCAGTGCACATGCGTGTGGGTGTGTACTCACCTCCCACATTCACACTAGTGCTGGTGTAAGGGTCCCTCGGTGCTAGCGCCTCCCCGAGCACCCCACTGGCGCTAGAGCCGCCCCAAACATCCCACCAGTACTAGCACCACCCTGAGCATCCCGCTGGTGCTAGGACCACCCCATTCGTGGCACTCGCGTGGGCCCGTTTGCGCATGGTCATGTGTGCATGTGCATGTGCTCACATGCGACCCATTTTTGCGCTTGCACATGTATAATGGTGCCTGCCTCCCTTTCCGGGCCGCCAAACCAAAAAAGTTGGGGACCTCTGTCTTACATTAATTCAACTTTACACCAACCTCTGAGCACACAAACAGAAGTGGCATCTTTCCCTTTCCAAGGCATGACCACTAGGATTGCATTTCCAAAAATGGAACAGAGAGAATGTAGCAAGGAGATCAGGGATAGCAGAAGGAGTCTTGTCCCCTTCACATGAAGCTGTCAATAGTCATGCATGGGCTTGGCCCAGAATAGGAATGAAAATATCACCAGCTATCATTCTATCTCCAAACATTACACAATGTTTGGAGGACAGCTGATTCAATTCCAGATTTAAAAAACTGAATTACTCAATACTTCCAGAGTGGAATGGTTTCATAAGCAAGTGTCTATAAATTTTATGTTATTTACATTTCATAATACATTAATCCATGAGGAGTCCTTCCCCACTGTCGCACCCTTGACAGCCACTTATTTCTACCTTTCCTGTCCCCATTTTCTTTCCTGATGCAATAAAGAACGGTGAAAAATCAGGTATTTTTTAATAAACTCAACTTGAGTCCTACAGGCATGACTAAAAGGCATGAAAAACTGATCTGATTTGCACAAAGTAGTCTAGATGACAAAAATCTAGCTGATCTTGGTGATTTCAAAAAACAAACATACAAGCCCTAAGCAGAGATGAACCTTGTTTACACTTGGATGAAAGACTATTAAAAAATCTCAATGCTAAAGGTTAATGTGGGAAGTTGAGAAAAATATGGAAGAAAGCTGTGGCACACCATTTCCATTGTGTTGTCAAGAAAACAATATTAACGAACCTAGGTATTTATTAGAGTGAAGTTCGTCTGAAATAATCTTTGCTGAGTATTACAATACAGAAATATTATTTGCATTACAGTATGATTTAAGATGGAAACCTTCAGTAAGGTGGCAACTCTCTTTTTTCAGAGTGACTGACTCTTTTGACATTTTGAAGAAATGTCTTTTGAAGAAAATGAAAGCCATAACTCATTTTTCTGGTAATGAAATTAGTCATGCATACCTTTCCTCGTGCCACAGCTTTGTAGGCAATGCGAATGATGTAGTAGGACCAGATGATATGTAATACTTGTATAATTAAGAGAAGGCTATTGAACAACCACCAGGATGGGTAGGGGCCAATTAGTTTCCAGCTTTCAAACATTGTAGAATTCAGTATCCTAGAAATCAAACAAGAAGAGGTTTGCATTCATTGTCTTATTCTGAACTTTGACAAGGCCCAAATTCTAGATCGGGAATAGGTAATCTGAATCAGCGGAAACTTCTTTCCCTTGCAATTTTCCCCCCATAAAGAGTGAAAATGCCTCAAATCTTTAAGTGCTGATATAACAACAGGTATCTGTGAAGAGATTCCAGTTTTCTCTCCACTTGGGTTTTCCCCCCACAACGATTTGGGTAATCTGGTGAATTGCTTACCAATTTCTTTCTTGAGAACAGTGAAAATGGTCCGTTTTATTTTGTTAAAACGATTTTCAGGGTTCGGAAGACTTATAAGTCTCCCCGAATTAGAAAAGTGGTTTCAGATGGGTGACTACACAAATCTTTTAAAATAAATACAATGTGTAATCAACCTATCGTAGGCTTTCCACTAACTAACTTTGAAGCTAACTTCAAAAAGAGCCACATAGAAAGTTGAAAAGAAAGCTAATGAAGTCAGCTTACTTTTGTAGATGGAGCTCATGAGACTTGGCAGCTCCTCTCCTGCCAGTCTTCATTAGCTACGTTTGCCTTGTGGTTTTCAGAGGAGAGACCTCTTTGCCAGGAGAGGGGAAAAATTAGCCCACTCTTTGCAGTCTAAGAAGTGCCACATGGTATTGCAAAACACATAGCAAAGGAACAGCAGAGCTACTTCCCAGTGTAATCTGAGAGAAACGGACTCCATTAGGAAACCAGGGCATTAAAATAAGGATAGTGAAAACATTAAAAATTCACTGCCTTCCTACCACCTAATAATGGTTTGCTAAGCGATATAGCCGAGTAGGCTAATATGGCCCAATCATTAAGACTGGCAACCATACGTTTAAAAAAAAAAAGTGCTATCTGCAAATACCAGAGTGCCAAGAAAATTAACAAGGTAACAATATCTCAGTGCATTCCCTCCTAAACTCAGGTAGAAGCTTATCTTTGGAACTAAATATTAAAGACATATTTCTCTCCAAACTAAAATGTAAAATATCTTGGGCACAAAGCAGCTCTCCAAGGATTCAATGCATCTTTCTTGCCTGAGGAGTTCTCGTCTATCCTGACCTAAAAAGAGACAGGAATGTATGTTCACCACCTTGAGGATAAAATTCTAACAACAGCAACACCAACAATTGAATCAATTTGAATCCATCCGCATGTAAATTTAATTACTCCTCATATCAGCATTATTGTTGAGTAGCAAATATTATTCAGTGGAGCATGGGTTGTCTTGGGAGAATTCCTGGGAGGCCTAGTGAAGGCCCAGGTCCGGAGCACAGTGCTTCCCCAGTTCCCACATACATGGAGGGCATGTGTTGTCATACCAGATTGGGCAGTTTCAGAGTGGCCACAATTCATTCCCCAAAATGGCGCCTGTTTCCAGGACAGTGCAATGCGGCCTCTGTCCTGTATCCAGAGGCAGATCAATGGTTTCCCGAAGATCTATGGAAAAGGTAAGTAGACTGAGCCATGACGGAGGTGGGCGGGGAGGAGAGCATGGGACTCAGCAGGGTAGGAAACAAGCCCAAGGCCTGGGGCCACCCAGTGGTGCAGGATTTGGGGGGGGGGGGCAGAGTGATGGAGAATTGCTACAGCATTCCTGTGGTCGGTTGTAAAAGTGGACCAATTGTCAGGGACCAGAATTTTTTTCATATGATCATGGAGGCACTGCAGCAGCCGCAACTTCAGGCAGGTGTCGCAGATCCTTTCATTCAGTGCCCTCATAGTTTTGAATAGTCGCTGAATGAACTGTCATAAGTTGAGAACTGCCTGTAAAACTATTACTAAGAACAAGGACAAAAGTACACATTCATCTTCTATAATCTGATAACTTTGGCTAACATTCTGGGTAATATTCTACCTATAATCCATAATAGAAAATCCATCAGATCAATAACTGAAATCTGTCTTGTGGGGTCATTTAAGGACCCATGGATTCTATATTCAATGATGATCTCATAATCATTAAGGATTTAATTATTTGCTAAATTTGCAGAAGGCACTAATTCTCTTTTTACTAGAAAATGTATTGGAGCTACTTAACCATGTGGCACATGCCAAGTTCCAAAACTTACTGGCCCATGTTCCTGACTCTTTTTGCTCAGAATGGTATCCCAGCAACATAAGCATCATTGAACTTCAGGATAACCATGAAACTACAAAACTAATGAGACTGGACAAGTGTTAGAAGAGGAAAAGTTTCATCAGGCCTTCTGGAGTGACTCTGCAGCCTGAGATTACTCACAGCAAGCCTCATAAGGAAAAATGTGTCTTTTTACCTTTGACCCACAAATTATAGGGATTCCTGTAGGAATTAATCAAGGCCAAATGGAATCCTTGAAATAATACAGTGAAAACCAGGAAGAAATCAACAAACTATATTCAATTAATTCAGGAATTAGTAACCTTCCCAGATCTTACATGCCCCTGGGTTATAGTATAAAGCTATTACAATTTTCTTTAAACCATGAAAAGATAATATTAGTAATGTTTATGATATGTGGAATAAGGAATTGGACTATTCAATTCCAAAATCAATGGATGTCAGTTAAAAAAAATGTAAAATAAGATTTCTTGTGACTAAGACTTGAAACCAATTTCTCAAAAACCTTTGAGTTTATTGGACTTCTCAATTTTTTTTTAAAGCGAGTCTCTGTTTTGGCACTGTAAGATGCTTGACGACTCTTGACCCACATGATTTGGTCATGTTCTTCCATCATTCTCTTCTGGTCCTAAATCAATATATATTTGCCTGTTTGTATGTACAATAAACACTGGGGAAAAACATAGTTATAAATGTGATGCTGAATACTATGGAATTCAACATTTTATAAAGAACTTTGAATTTATCAAGCCTAAGGCTCAATAAAGAGAATTATCTTATGTAGATGGAAAGAATTTTACCCTGATGTTGGAGACTGAAGTCAAGAGATGTATTCTTGATTAATGTTTGAAATGCTTTTATATTCGAAAACTGAGAAGACAACGTTTTATACAGCTTTGATTTAGTAATATTTGATTAATTGTTATGAATATTTTATGGATTTTGATATATTTCCCTTAAAATTTAGTTTATTTTCAGGATCATTAAGTATAATTTTAATTCAACCATTATTGACATATTATTTTTCTGTTTGTTATATTTTACAAATAAAAATTATACAATTAAATAACCTGCATGCTATTTCTACCTCTGAGAATACTGCACTATTAAGTCTCCACCAAACCACTTCCTTGATCTTTCCAATATATATAATTTACAGCTAGGTATCCACATCATCATACTTACCAAATAGGAAAAAACCCCAAGCGGGTAATAAGAAACACTACACTAAATATTATAAAAGTGGCATCACAGAGTCGCTGATACTTCGCATAGTTGAACAACTTTGCAAGCTAGAAAAAAACAGAAAGCATTAAAACAACTCTAGCTGCCCATCTAGCAAAATTATTATTTAGATAAAAGATTCTACTGACTGAGTATCTTTTTTTCTTTTTCTTTTTTAAAGAAAAAGTAACTGTGAATCTGATCTTGGCACAATGAAAAATGAAGAAAAAAAATACAAAATAGCCCAATATCCTTTATGTTCGAAATACAAGTTCAGAAAGAACTAAAAGAAAATGAATATGGCAAAGATCAAGAACACTCAAATAATAGCCTCTCAAATTAAGAAGCTTCAGGCCTGGTGTTATCCAATAACACCAGTCAGTATCAGTTACAACTACAGGCAATCCTTGTTTAGCAATCATAATTGCGACTGGCAACTTAGTCGTTAAGTGAAAGCATGACTGTGCTTCTCGTTTTAATTCAGCTTTCTTTTGCTTTATAGACCTGCCAATGCGAGGACTGGTTGTCAAGTTGCCTTTTCATCACTGCAAACGGCTGCTAAATGAAGCAGTGGCTCAATGAGGACTACTTGTAGTGACAGTATATATTTCCAAACAAATGCTCCTTACATACTGAAGTCTTTGCCGTTAATAGTGATGGACATGAAGGGTCGTCCAAGAACGTTTAGATGATTATTTATTTGTATCCCATCTTTATTATTTTTACAAACAACTCAAAGCGGTAAACTTATCCAATACATCTCCCTCCTTCTGTTTTCCCCATAACACAACCCTGTGAGATAGGTTGGACTGAGAGAGAGTGAGTGAGTGAGTGACTGGCCCAAGGTCACCCAGTTGGCCTTCATGCCTAAGATAGCACTTGAACTCATGATCTCCGGTTTTCTAGCCTGGTGCCTTAACCACTAGGTCATTCACAAATGATTTCCAAATGGTTTTAAGAAACAGCCGTTGCCTTAAATGGACTACTTACAAATCACCATGTATACACAGCATAACACATTGTTTTAATCTTTTATTGTGTGGGGAAAAAAATCCCACATAAATTAATGGTAAGGAAATCAATACTGTAGACTGAATTATACAGTAGTATTAAATAATTAAAACCTAGGGTACTCACTTCTAATAATATATCTGCTGAATCATGGAGACATATGACCAAAGTACCTACTCGCACCATGTGGTTTAAGTAGGAGAAGATGAGCAGTCCAACAGCAGCCACATGATGGACAAACATCATGAAGAAATCCTGAATTTAGAGGAAACAGGATAGAAATAGCTATAATGATCAAGGAATTAATGTACCGTATTTTCCGGCGTATAAGACGACTGGGCGTATAAGACAACCCCCAACTTTTCCAGTTAAAATATAGAGTTTGAGCGAGAGAGGGGGGGGGAGAGAAAACTTGATGAGTAATATGCCAAACCACATGTGTAAAGGAATAAAATAGAATACCCGTATTTTCCGGCGTATAAGACGACTGGGCGTATAAGACGATCCCCGACTTTTGAGAAGATTTTCAGGGTTTAGAAAGTCGTCTTATATGCCGGAAAATACGGTACTCTGATAAAAAGAAGCATTCAGAATAATCTAAGTTTGGAAACTTTTTATGGTGTGCTAACTGCTTGATAGCACAAAAATATACTTTCAAGTTAAAAATAATTACTGAGAGCTGGTTTCCAAATCTTCAGTTACTCAATTATGCTCTTAAGAAACTATGCTTCTTCCTTCTCAGTGAAGTCTCTACCCTTCAAAGGTATGACAGAAACCCTGATTAATTTTGAAAGCCTACGTTTTCAAAGCTCATTAGTATTTTGTGGCGAAAAGAACCACTTTTAGGTAGCACAGGATTATGTAGTTTATTTGTGGCCCTAACAATTCTGTCATTTTACTCCTATAGTAATCCTATCTATTTGCCTCCCTTTCTTCCCTCCCTACCATTGAATTACAATTATTTAGTTATGTATTTGCTAAATTTATATGCTGCCTCTCTCACCAATAAGGCAACTATGGTTGCTTACAAACCATAAAAAGATAAAATGTAGAAGCAATTAAAATTACAATTACAAGAATTGTATAATTTTAATTATAAAATCAACCTCATAGGATTTTGCTCCATCCATTTGAAATAGACACAATGAAAATATATGTTCCTTAAGATGCCTGGGGCAGTTCTACTGAAAAAATAAGTGATGGATCTGTGGGGGGGAGGGGAGGAAGGTGTGGGACCACGTAGGGTGGGAAGCAGGGCCAAGTCCTGCAGGGACCCACTGGGATGGATGCTTATAATACTGTGAACCCTGCAAATTGATGAATGCAGTAAGACAACTTCATCACTAATCAACTGATGTATACGCTCACACAAAAGCGTATGCAATGCACTAAGTCTAACTGAAATTTAAGATTCAAGACTATCAATGCTATCCAAATTATCTATGCATCTCATTGAAAACAAAAATAGTTTCTCTGCTGCAAGGCGTCAGAAAACAATCCTAATCCCAGAATATAATTATTTTCTGTTTTTCAAGGCAGTTAGTTTGAATAGGGCAGCATTTCATTTTATGGGAAAAACCTCCGGGCAAAGAGAAGGACTACTATTCTTCTTTTACGAGCCCTCCAATCTTACTTGTGGAGTTTGTATGAATGTTAGACAGCCTTCCATTAAACTTTGTTCTGAAATAAGCATCCAACATTAGAAATTCCTTCTGAAGAAGGCTGCTCACAACCCTTGCAATTTTAGCAATGCTAAAGAATGAGAAAAGCCAATCCTACAGCATTCATCTTAAAAGAGCCTCACAGATGCAAACTTATTGAATATTTTTTTAAAAAAATTAAAACATCTAGCAGTTTTTGAAAAACAATTAATTTAATGCTTCAGCTAAATATTCCAGATATAACTTTTAGAATGACAAAAGATTATTGCTTTAGCCAAATTAAGATATTTTAACCTTCTGAATTGTGGTGTAATCTGTTATATAGCATTTAATCAAGGACAAAATGTGGTATTTCTATTATTATGGGCAGATTTTTTAAACCTGGCTAACTAAGAAAGATTCCTATAGGTTTAGGAAAAAAAAATCTTAGAAAAAAACTTGTTTCTTACCTTTCGCTTAATATCGGTAAACTGTGAATACAAAAGAGACGAGTAATAGGCCAATTCGATGATATAATGGTAGTAAATGTCAGATGTTATAGGCTGGAAAACAAAAAGTAATCTTGTTTACATGGCTCGTCCAACATAACTTGATCCAGTAGTGAAGGTGTCAAGCTGAGAAACCAAGAAACTGAGTTCTAATCCCACTTTAGGTGTGAACAACCAGCTAGGTGATTTTGCCTCGGTAACTGTCTCAGGTTTGTTGTTGTGGGAAGAAAAATAGGAGGAAGGAATATTAGGTATGTTCCTCCTCTTGGGTTATTTATAAAAAATAATAAAAGCGGGATAAAACTAAATAAAATAAAATCTCCATTAAGGGAAAATTTTATAAATCTAAGCTTTGTTTATTATACTTTCTAATTTGAAAGCTATTTAATCTGTTTTATTCTTATCTATGCAAAAATTGCTATCAGTCTTTAAATAGTGAGAGATCCGATCACAACCATAATATTCTTTTGAAATAATGTTAAGATGTAAGAAAATATATCTATATCTAGATTGATCATAGAAAGCAAAAGCAGGAAAGCAAAGCAGCATCTTCTTTCCTATTAACAGCTCTTGGTGAGAAGGTGAAAAGCGATGTTTCCAATGCTTTTCCCACTGAACTTCAGAATACAGGATGGTGCACGGCAACAGAGACATTGCTCTACTTACAAATGGATTACGTTTCTAGAGGCTGCTAATAAGTCCATTTTGTTCACAAGCCCAACAGGCATAAAAAACATGCAGAGTTATCCTTGGTTTCCTCTTGTCCCACGTACCTAGGGGATGACCAAGTGGATGTTCTCTTGGTGGTGGTGGGGCATTTCCCCACTGAAAGCCTCTCAGGGGGGTATTCAGGGAAGATGTGGGTGTGGGCGCAGCTCAACTTGTTTTTTTATTTCACCACCTGATCAATTGTGGACTCTGCAGGCCAACCCTCCCAGATTGGTATTCAGGCGAAGTAGACTCCTCCTCACCTTGGTGACTCCCTCCTCTCCTTGTCCACTTCTACCCCCCCCCCATGAGCTGACATATTCTATTGGCTCCATGCCCTCAGACATGGGATGCAGCTGTCCTTCTCAACAGATGGTTTTTGCAATAGTGCTGCCAAGTATACGTATGCAGTACATCATAAACTACCCTTTTCTGCCTTCTCCTGACTTCTGGGACTTTCTAGATTAGAGTTGAGGACAGGTTTGTTCATATCAGCACAAGTTCACAACTCAAAAGTTCATAAGTCGAGTAATATCTGTACAGAGAGTATTTCCCCCCCTTCAGAATTAACTCAAATGAAGTGGAGGGAGGCCCTATGCCAGTGGTGGCGAATCTATGGCACGTGTGCCAGAGGTGGCACTCAGAGCCCTCTCTGTGGGCACACGTGTCGTCGCCCCAGTCCCGCTTCCCCCCATGACCCCCTCACCAGCAGCCCCCCCAGAGGAGAGTTACCCCTAGGCGTGGCCCATGCGGGGCAGTGCAGCCAAGCACATGGCAGCCAGGCAGCAGGGACAAGACTCCACCCTCGTGCCCTGTCACGTGCAGATGATGCATTGGGGCGTGGGTGAAGGGCATGGCCAACATGGCGCTGCAGGGCCACCTGGGCGATCTGCAGCAGGCTGTGGAGGTGGTGGGTGGCCCTGCAGGAGGGTGGAGCAGGGGACGGAGCAGGGGTGGGGAAGGGTGGGGGACAGAGCGGGGGCGGGCTGGGGCAGTTTTTGGGCACTCGGTCTCTAAAAGGTTTGCCATCACTGTCTTATGCAGTCCTTATTTATCCTTATCCCTGAAAGATGTGTTTCAGTGCTGAATAGGGGGGAAAAGGATGAACTCAACCACCTCTGAGGCAATATGGGAGGTGAGAATAGGAGATGGAAGAACAATAGAAGAATGGTTGGTGGGAAGAATGCACTTGCATATGTTCCTTAGCTTTTTAAACATGACAAACCTGGCTAATAATTAATAAATTTTACTTAACTGAAGACCATGAAAAGAGGCATATTAATGACCTGTGTTTGCTTCAAATGGTGAGTATTCCCTTTCAAACGGTATTTTAAAAAGAAAAGATCAAAGAAGCATTTAACATCACGACTCGGCGGAAAATCAGGC